ATATATATATATATTGCGAAATGTTGCCCCCAACAAGGGGTGGCGAGGGTTTAGGGTTTAGGGTTTAGGGTTTAGGGTTTTGAGGTGTACGTACAACCTGCCACGGAAGTCTGCAGACTTCGGCGTTATTTTCATCGAGGAGAATTACAATTGGGAGGGGGCCGAGGCCCGGCACTGTCTCTGTCCCTGCCTTGCACTTCTTGATCTAACACACAAACCCTAAACCCTAAACCCTAAACCCTAAACCCTAAACCCTATGCTGTAGGCAACTTCATCCACGCAATAAACCAAGATTCATCAGTCAGCCACAGAGAGCGCCGTTCTCTCTCTTGAAAAAAAAACCCTAAACCCTAAACCCTACACACTAAACCCTAAACCCTAAACCCTAAACCCTCACCCGCGGAAGCAGGGCCCTGTCTATGGGCAAAATACATCGAGGTAGAGAAGCAACACTGCCTTGAGGGGTCAGCAAGAAATGCTGCGGCTTCTGTAACGCAAACCCTAAACCCTAAACCCTAAACCCTAAACCCTAGACCCTAAATCCTAAACCCTAGACCCTAGTCGGTAAACCGTAGACCCTAAACCCTAGACAGTAAGCCGTAAACATCTGACAGTAAATCGTAAACCCTATACACCTCACACCCCAATTGCACCGACATTGAACCCAAAACCCAAAACCCAAAACCCTAAACCCTAAACCCTAAACCCTAAACCCTAAACCCTAAACCCTAAACCCTTACGTCTGCGGGTTCTTCGTCTGTAATTTTTGCTCCTTTACCCCCTTTTCCAATTACAATTCGATGTACTGCCTTCGCAGGTGTTTGTTTTTGAAGTTCTTTAGGGGGCCCCCCCTCGGCTGTTTTTTTATATACATCTTTTGGCGTCTCCTTTGGAGGCCCCTTCACTGTGGGGGGCTCTTTAGGGGGCCCCCCCCCCTCCTTAGGGGGCCCCTCTTCTTTAGGGGGCCCCTCTTCTTTAGGGGGCCCCCCATCTTTAGGGGGGCCCCCCTCTTTAGGGGCCCCCTCCTTTGGGGGCCCCTCCTTTGGGGGCCCCTCCTTAGGGGGCCCCTCCTTAGGGGGCCCCTCCTTAGGGGGCTCCTCTTTAGGGGGCCCCCCCTCTTTAGGGGCCCCCCCTTCTTTAGGGGGCCCCGCTTCTTTAGGGGGGGCCCCCTCTTTAGGGGGCCCCCCTACTTTAGGGGGCCCCTCTTTCTTAGGTATTTCACCTGGGGGTTTAGGCGGAGTTGGGGGCCCTGGTGGTTTCTTCGAAAGAGAAGGGGGGCCCTTAGGGGCCCCCTCTTTAGGGGCCCCCCCCTCTTTAGGGGCCCCCCCCTCCTTAGGGGGCCCCCCCTCCTTAGGGGGGACCCCCTCCTTAGGGGGGGCCCCTTCTTTAGGGGGGCCCCCCTCTTTAGTAGGGGTCCCCTCTTTAGGGGCCCCCCCCTCCTTAGGGGGGCCCCCGTCTTTAGGGGCCCCCTCTGCTTTCGGGGGCCCCACAGTCTTGGGGGGTGCGAGTGTTTGTTGTTTTTTTGCGAATATACCTTGCTTAAGTTTAGGGTTTGTATCTTCTTTTAAAGGAGACAGCAGCTCTGTATCTGCTGGTGCAGCAGGTAGAGGTGCTGGGGGCTTCCAGGCAGCAGCAGGGGCCCCCCCCTTCTTCTTAGGAATACCCCCTTTGGGGCCCTTTGGAGGAAGTGCATGCACCGCAGCACTCACAAACAAACCCCTATTTTCTAGATCCTGCTGCTGCTGTTGCTGCTGCTGCTGCTGCTGCTGCTGCAGTTCTGTTGCGTCTGAGGGGGTAGACAGGGACCGCTGGGGATCGAAGCTGGGAGGAGACGATCCCAGAGAAGACAACGAATGCCCCCATTGAAGCCTGCTGCTGCTGCTACTGCTGCACTCGCTGCTGCTGTTGCTACTGCTGCTGTTGCTGCTGCATGCACGTCTGATGATGCCGGTGGGCAGCAGAAGCTTCTTCTTCGCGGGAGGCGACGCTAGGGCCAACCCTTCCAAGCTGCTGCTGCTGCTGCTCCTGCTGCTGCTGCTGCTGCTGCTGCTGCTGCTACTGCTGCTGCTGCTGCTGCTGCTTCGAAACTCTTGAAAAATGAGGGTCTTGAGGCTCCTTGGTATTATAATTCGTTCGAAGCCCTCGGCGGGGTCTGCAGCAGCAGGAGCCCCGTTTGCTGCAGCGGTTCCTGCTCCTGCTGCTGCTCCTGGAGATGCTGCAGCAGCAGCAGCAGCAGAAGCAGCAGCAGACCTTCGGGGCCTCACAATCAGGTTCCGAAGCCCCTCCAGATAAGAGCGCCTCTTCTTAGCTGAAGGAGAGGCACCCACCTGATTCGGCTGCTGCTGCTGCTGCTGCTGCTGCTGCTGCTGCTGTTCTTGCTGCAGCAACAGCTGGTGATTGTCTTGCTGTTGCTGCTGCTGCTGCTGCTGCTGAAAGGGCGCTGCTCGTTTGCGCTGCAGCAGAAATTTCTGCTTCGACGCCATTTGGATGTCTGTAGAATTACCCAGCAGCAGTCGGCACCCCCCAACCCTCCCTTTGCTGCTGCTGCTGCTGCTGCTGCTGCTGCTGCTGCTGCTGCTGGGTTTCTGTGTCGGGAGGCTGCGTATGAAGGTGAACGTTTGCTGCTGCTGTTGTTCTTGCTGTTGCTTCTGCTGCTGCTGCAGCTCCCCGTTGGCTGCTGTCTCCATCGCGGGGGCCCCAGGTGCAAGGTCCAGGGGCCCCTATACAACAGATGAGTGTTTTGCTGCTTTCTCGTTTGCTGCTGCTGCTGCTGCTGCTGCAGCAGCAGCAGCAGCAGCTGTTGCTGCTGCTGCTGTTGCTGTTGCTGCTGTTGCTGCTGCTGTTGCTTCTGTGCTGCTGCCGCCAGGCGCAGCGGGGGCCCCCAGTGATGGTGAGAGATATAGAGCAGTAAAAGCACAAGAAAGGCGAAAGGATAAAAGAATCAAAGAAGTATGTTAATAAAAGAAAGAAAAAAGAAGACGAAGAAAAGAAGAAGACAAACACTGCACCGCTCGCTGCAGTGTATGACCAGCTGCAGGCTGGTGCTGCTGCTGCTGTTGCTGCTGCTGCCGCTGCTGGCTTTAAAGCTGAAGAGAAGAGAAAAAACAATAAGCAACAAATAAATATTTAAGAATTAAAAAGAAGATATTGTAAATAAAAAGAAAAGAAGAAGACAGCAGCAATCGATATGCATGGGGCCTCCACAGCACAGACCAGCGGCTGCTGCTGCTGCTGCTGCTGCTGCTGCTGCTGTTGCTGCTGCTGGTGGTTCTTTCTTTTTGCTGCTGTTTATTTATTTTATTTTTTGCATTTTAATTTAATTTAATTACTTTTAAGGAGATATTTAACTCCTTTTCATAGAAAAAAATAAAATTTTAGAGCCTATACACCGCAACTACGCCGCCGACTCGTGCTCAGAGGGACCTCAAACCCTAAACCCTAAACCCTAAACCCTAAAACCCTAAAGCCGTACAGAAGCTTAACTGCTATAGAGCGCCACTCTACCTGCGTTTATTGCATAAACAAATAAACTGAGTGGTGTTTAATGATTAATATAATATTTATTTTTGTTTTTATTTTTATTTTGTTTGCCTCCTGATGGTGTTTAGACCTCCGAGTTTTTTTGTATTTGTTTGTCTTGCTGTCTCCCTTTGTTTATTTGTTTATTTATTTGTTTGTTTGTTTTTCTTCAATGTTTATTTTCTTCATTCTGCTGCAGCAACCGCAGGAAGAGGTGTGTATACACCTGATATATATATATATATATATATAATATACTTGTATATATAAAATGCTATACATTAATAGAGTAATATATATATGTATAGATATATATATTGTGTAGAGATTATTATAGGTGCATATATATACATATTATATTTATATATATTATATAGATTTATATTGTATATAGAATATTGTATATATAAATATATGCATACACATACATGCATATATTTATATGTGTATATATACGTATAGTAGATCTATATATATATATATATACATATATATACACCTAAAAGTATATTCTCCTCCCAGCAGCAGCAAGAAGGTTGCTGCTGCAGCAGCAGCAGCAGGAACAACAACAACGAGGCTACAGCAGTAGCAACAAGGCAGTAGCAGCACCGTAAACCGTGCAGCAGCAGCAAGGAGGCTGCAGCAGCAGCAGCTAATGAAGGATATAATTTTATTTATTTATTTATCGTTTCTTAAGGTGAAAAAAACAAATAAAAGAGGCGATAAACACAACCCGCAACTAATCCCCGGGGCCCCTGGAGCAGCAGCAGCAGCAGCACTGCAGTAGCAGCAGCAGCAGCAGCAGAACTGCAGCAGCAGAACTGCAGCAGCTGCGGCTGCTGGTGCTGCTGTTGCGCTTGCCTGCTGCACAGGAGCAGCAGCTGCAGCAGCGGCAGCAGAAGGTTTTAAAACAGCTTCAATATCACTTCTGCACTGTCGCTTCAGTTGCAGCAGCAGCAGCTTTTGTTGCTGCTGCTGCTGCTGCTGTTGCTGCTGCTGCTGCTGCAGCCAAGGAGAAATGCTGCAGTTGCCTCTCTCTCTAAAAAGTTATTATTATTATATATAGATAATATATACATATATATGCGTATATATAATATATAATATATAATATATAATATATAATATATAATATATAATATATAA